CAAAAATACAAACTGCTAATATTATTTTAAAAGATACAAACTATTGTTTTCATGTCAGATGTATTTTAAATCCATACTTAATTACTACAAAAGTCTCCCTGTGGTATATGTAATCATTCTATAATAAGGTAATTAAAATTCCTTGGCCAGCCAATTTAGGATTTACAGCTTAACTCAAGTATCAGACACTACTAAAGACAAGCCCGGATGTGTTACTTAGAAATAATCATTTAATTTAAGTGGGGGTGACACAACACAGCCCCATCTTCAACACCGAACCTATATTTTTAAATATGTTTCAGCAAACTACTGCACACAAGTCCAAATTTAAGTGTAATCCCAAAGCAATGGATCTAGTGCAAACACATGCAAATTTCTAACAAACTACTGTGTGTGTTGGGGGAAAACGACAACATAGTCTCTAAATAGTAATGCCCCTACTTTAAAGGTCCAATCATCTCTTGACCTCCCACTTTGGGACTCACAGTTGTTGAAACTGAGTATCTAGGGGTGGTGCCTGGGTACAAGCTTGTTTGACAAGCTCTCCTCAGGATTTTTCAATGTTAAGTTTTGAAAACTACTGCTTTAATCTTTTCTGGCTCTAAAACTCTACTTCTGTGAGTCTCTGTATTTGAATATGCTTTAAACTTAAAGCTATTTGTAATTAAATGGGTATCAACTAGTTGGATGGGTTTTCTAACATAATAAGCAACCTGATCGGGCCATATAATTTCATGACTCTGGCTTAAGGGGAAAAAAAGGAGAGTTGGTTATAACAGTCTGTGGCAAAGGCAGATGTGGATACCTATTAAGAAAGTCATGGATTTCTTTTTCTTCATCAAAATTATCAGAGCTGTTTCCAAGTAGCCAAAAATTGCAAAGTCAACTGACCTTATTTTATTTGTTTTCCCTTTGTCTACTCTGTATTGGTGGCAGGTCAGAAAACTGTGGAAAGGGGTCCGGATAACCCATCACCTGAGCAATGAGCCCCTGAATACCAGGGATCATTACATCTATTGCCAGAAACATGGAACTAATTCTGGAGCAGCTTTGTCTACATTGCAGCTGTAGAGACAATCTCTTACCTAGCCAGTAGGTGGAGGCACACACAAACTTACTTTGCTTTGCTCTTTGAGCCATAGGACCTTAAATCTTCTAGTAAATTGGTCTTTTGTTTATTCATTTGTTTTAAACCCAGGAGATCAAAGAGAACACAAAAAAGTGAACAAGGACAACTGTTGAGGTGAATTTATAAAAAAACGATACAAAAGATTTCTATTTTGTTTCTGGCCCTTTTGAGAAATAACTAAGTTGTTTTAACTGTGAATTCATAATCCACTTCCAGATCCCCAGAGCTGATAAAATAATTCTAAATTTAGAAATAGATCTTTTAAAAATTCATGTTCAACAATCATGTTCAATTAGGGAAAAACTGAACATCAACCGAATGTGACCTAATACTAAGGAATGATTGTTGATTTTGCAAGGTATTATACTATTATGCATTGATATCTATCTATATCTATACCTCAAGTCCTTCTTTATAAATCTAAACAGGAATATTTTATAGGTGAAATGGTATTGCTTTAGAAATCACCAGGAAAAAAAGAAAAGATAACAGTAAAGGACACACAGAACAAGAATGGCAAAATGCTGATAACTGTTGAAGTTCAGTGACAGGTGCACTGAGGTTCACACTATTCTCTTTTTATCTGAAATTTTAGAAAACAAAAAGTTCAGAATATTAAATTATAAAGCCACGTCCTTGTGATTTGGTTTAACACTGAGATTAGGTGACCAATAGATATGCAACTTTAATGAAGTCTTATCTCCATATATAGCCACTGAAGAATTATTTCAATCACGACTGAATCATACAAAAAATTAGCTCTATAAAATCTCATATAATTTAACAGGAGAGACTAAAACTAACTTGCTAAATCCCCTGGAAACAATACCTTCCAGTTGTAGAGCGCTTCACCATTTTACAAAGTGAATTCACATCTAGTTCTGATAATCTTACTAAGATTTTAAAGGTAAAAAAAAAAAAAAAACCTTGGCTCAGAGAAGCCAGAAGACATGGCCAAAGTCACATCATCAGTAAAAGTGATGGAGCTGGGATAGTAACTCAAGTTTTAGAACACCAAAGATCATCTCTCTACCGTACTGTCACTTAGACCTCTTTGAAACAAATAGCAAACATGATGAAATTTAGGTGAATCTTAAAATTTTGCTTTCTGTGCTCATTACTTGAGAGTATATGATAAAACTGTTTTTTTTTTTTGTTTTCTCAGTGAATAAAAATACAGATAAAAACAGGTTTCTTGAATAAAGAATAAAATTGTAAATCAGAGAAAGTTATTAAAAAAGAATTATAACATCTTAAAATTGGAAGGGACACTAGAGGCCCTCTCTAGTCCAAAATTAAACCCTTATCTTTAGCCTCCTTGGATGGGTCCAGCTTGAGCTCAAGCATTTCTAGTGAGGAACTGCATACTCTGTGAGACAGCCTGCTTCATTCACAGACTTAGTCTAATTGCTACAGGGGCTTTCCTTGCTTAGAGGTGGAATCTACCTGCTGCTTGTTGATTCCAGTTACAGCCCCTGACCCTACACTGAACAAACATATAATCCTCTTACATATGACACCCTTTTAAATAACTGAAGACTTTCGGTATGTTTTACCACAGCCTTTGTTCTGAGGACTCTCTTGGCAGAAAAAGAAAACCAGTGGATTCTTGAGTAACTAAAGCTTCCCAGTCTTTTCAACAGCTCTTCCATGGTCTTCAAACTGGGACTTGGGGAATCTCTGGGAGTACCCAAAGTCCTTCCAGGAGATAGGAGAATTAGGATCTTTTGAAGGCAATCAATGTCCATTTCTTCACTTGCCATAATTTGATCTGTTTGAAAACAAGTCTATGGTCTGGTGAGTTTCCTTTTACATCTCCACTCATACGGGCCCATCTCAAAAGAGAACTGCTCACCCATCCTGAAAAACCTGCCTAGCTTCAGAGACAACTAGGGAATGCAAAGCTCCTGAGAGAAACACTTAAGAGCAAAACAGAGCTTCAGAAAGAAAGAGGAGAGCCACTTTATTTCATCCAGATAATATATGCATGGCAAAGCCTTATCTATTTCAGAATTAAAAATCAATAGTAAGATGACTGTCACAGGGATGTCTATTAACACTTTAATTTTGTTTGAAAAATGAAGGCAGATTTTTCTCTGACAGTGAGTCTGATTTGGCTGACTGGCTTGACAATGACGACTAGCTCTGCCATTTAGGTCAGATAGCAGACATTTTCCATAAATTGAGTGAGATAAAGGTGCTGATCTACCGTTCAGAGGAAAATATATTTAAAAGAATACACAGAACACTAAAAATGACAGCCTCACAATAGAAGCTTTTATATATCAACTCAAAAGTATGTGAGGAGGTACATGGTTTTCAAAATTCTTTTAGCAGGTATGTCAACAAAAATTTTTGTGAGGCTGTGACTCTAGGGCAAAATTTGTAGGCTCTTTCCCACTCTGGTTATCACCTTTGGGAAGCGTACCAGGGTCCTGCTTACTATGAACACTCTAGGGAGAACGGGTAGTATACAATATGGTGGGAGTGTTGGCTTGGTTCTAAATACTATATATTTTTAATTAATGTAGCCAAAGGTTCCATTCAGCGCTTTTTTTAAAGTTGCTGCAGCAACTACCTTTCAAAACATTTACATCTTTTTCACATAAGCAGTTACAACTAAGCTTATAGTGATCTTGCACTTATATAACTGAAGGAGTTTGTATTGACTGGTCTTAAATTTCATCTTTGTTTCAGCTCTTTTGCTACAAACTTGTAAAATGTTTTAAAAATTTGATCTAGATATTCAATGCATTAGCTAGCCCTCCATGGCGGGGGGGGG